CTCCTGCATCGGCAGGCGGACTCTCAAGCACTGCGCCACCAGGGAAGCCCTACCTACTTTTTTTTAAAAAACTTTTTCAGTACTGAGTATTGAGATAATCCTAATCCAGATGAATAATACTGACCCCACTAGATTTTTGTTGAAGGTTCAATGAGATAATGTTTATGAAAGGCATAGCTCAGGGTTTGGTAATTTATAGTCTTTAATACATTATGGTGGTTGTGGTGGGGAAGTAGTTTAAGAATAGAGTTGGGCCAGGAATTGTTTTTTCTCTCATTTCTATCTGTGTGACCCAGGGCAAGGTATTCAATTTTCTTAGTCTCAATGTTCTCATCTGTAAAATGGGAATAGTAATAGAATCCACTTTGTTGAATTATGGTAATTAACTAACAAATCATTATAATAATAAAATTACATTTTAATTCTTTTAAAATGATCATCACCATCATCACCACCACAACTACCACCACCACCACCTGCATTCTACTTGTCTCCTTCAGTGCCATATCCTTAATGCCAGTCACATAATGGGTGTTCAGTATATATTCGCTCTATAAATGAATTAATAAAGCTGAGAAACAAGAAAGGGGGACTGTCCTTGGTTACGTTACCCCATCTCTTTGTTTAGTCTTCTGTAAGCACTTGTTAGATTATGGTTGGTTTTCTCTCACTGCCTTCAGTTTGGGCAAAATATATTAAGTTTATCTATATCTGTACCAAAGTTGATCAATTTAGGAAAGTGATTGAATTCACTGTTTTTTACTCTGTATGGAATTTATGTCATATAATTTTGCTTAGGAAGTGACTTTGATATTTAGGTATCACAGCATAATATAGTAAGTAGTTCCATAAGCTTTTCAAAGATTAATCTTAGTATAAACAGCCAACCCAAGTTGTGATAAAAATCACATTAACATTGCCATAGTATAGTAAGTTGGGTATACGTAAAAAAAGTAGGACTATGTATGAAAGAAACATTCACCCAGCTGAGTCACATAGTAGAGGTACTGTTTAAACATTGGATATTCAGCACACACCATTTCTCACTCTACCTGAAGGGTGTAGTCTGAGTGGAACATTTTTGCTTAGTTAGCTGACAAATGTACACACATTTTCTTGCCTTGGAAATGATTCTTTTTTTCCTTTGAGCAACTTATATAATTTTTTCTAGGTTCTCTTAAACATAGGCTATTCAGATTGAAATTCCCTTTCTGTTCTTTAGCAACTTTTGATCTTTCTGAGGAAAGGCCTTATGGACTAGCACTGTATTGTAATATATATTTCCCTATCAGTAACCTGGAGTGCTTTTTCCTCGTAACTAGATGTCTCTTTTCAGCTTCATTTCCCCTTCTTACTATTTTTCTCCTTCTTAAGAGATTCTTGAGAGTATCATATTCATCCCATTGGAAAGCATCTGTCTAACGATTTAGGTGGCTGTGATGCTATGCTGTCTTTGTAGAGCTCCTTCTCTCTGGCTGTAATTTCATGTTTCCAAAGGACTTTTGTCCCTGAAATATCTAGGTGTTTAGATATGGATTGAAAAGAGCAGGAAAAAGGAGATGTTGGTTTCTCTTCCAGAACTGCCGACAGCTAAATGTAAAACATTTCCTGGATTTTAGGTAATACTAGAGCAAAAAGCCTGGCTTAATATTTTATTTTCAATCATTGTTATGAAAGCACACATCCAAAAAATAATATAATTAGTGTTAGAATGGGGGCTTTTATAGAAGAGATAAACATCGCTATCCTCTCTTCTTGACTGAGAAGTTGGATCAAAGTTCATATATAGTTTCCTATGGAATCATAAATAGAATATGAATCTCCCAACTCTTAATTATGCTGATGGCCATTACATCATAGTGATCCCCGCTGCTTAGAAGTGATTTAATTTTTCTTAGTAAAATAATTCCAAATAGTTTAACAAAGTACAATGGATTTATTCATTGTTGGACAGAGACTTCATGATCTTAATTGTTCCCTCAGGAATTCATGTGGGTATTATTAGAAAATATGTTACGCTTTGATCTTATTCTATTATAGAGTGACCATATTTTCCTCTCAACCTACCACTCTAAAAAACAAGTTATGAATCCTAAGGAAATGTTTGCTCTATTATATTATATTCTGAATTCTTTAAGAGATAGGACCAGGTAACCAAGGCTGATGCTCAAAGAGTAAAAGAGTTTATGATATGCGCTAGTAAAAAAAAAATACACTCCTACTTTTGTTTTATTTTCTAGGTGTAAGACCACTCAATCTTTATATCATTAGTTACATGTCTTAGATATCAATACATATTATTATTATTATTATTATTATTATTATTTTTTGCTGTACGTGGGCCTCTCACTGTTGTGGCCTCTCCCGTTGCGGAGCACAGGCTCTGGACGCGCAGGCTCAGCGGCCATGGCTCACGGGCCCAGCTGCTCCGCGGCATGTGGGATCTTCCCAGCCCAGGGCACAAACCCGTGTCCCCAGCATCGGCAGGCAGACTCTCAACCACTGCGCCACCAGGGAAGCCCTCAATACATACTATTAATCAGAATAAAACATACCTTTAGCAAGCTAAAAATACAAGGACCTAAAAGAATGGCGTACTGTTTATATAGAAAATATACAGAAGTCTTCTTTTCTGTAATATAAAGAATGAGTAAATAGAATTAGTTTCAGTTTTTAAGGAAATTTGTCAGTAGAGTAGTTTGATAGTAAAATATGTGAACTTTTCTTCCCTTTTTGGAGTCGTGGGTTTTTTAATATTAGCTTGTGACTTTCCCAATGAAGCCATCCAAAAAGCCACACTGACTCTTTTAGTCTGCCATCAGAGTGATAAATCCTTTATAGTTTTTCTTGGTGGTGAGAAATATGTATCACACCTACTGTGTTTACTCATTGATGTGCAGTATTGAAACTATTCTTTCCTTCTCTTCTCAATTCTGTGTTTACAGCAATCTACTGATGTTGAAGTGGGAGCTGACCTTGTCCCTTCAGTCACAGTGAAGGTATTGTACATAGTTCTAGACTGTAATGTGCAAACAATATCACACATTTCATCACATCTGTCACTTGTCACCCTATAAGTAGCTTATGGAAATGTAAAACAAACACTTGGTGGGCAGAAGAACTAATAGACATTTACCAGAGAGAACATCCAAATGGCCAACAGACACATGAAAACATGCTTAACATCACTGATCGTCAGGGACATGCACATCAAAACCACATGAGATATCACCTCACACCTTAGAATGGCTATCATAAAGAAGACAAGAGACAACAGGTGCTGGTGAGGATGTGGTGAAAAGGGAGCCCTTAAATATTGTTGGTGAGAATGTAAGTTAATCCAACCACTTTGGAGATCAATTGGAGGTTCCTCAAAAAATTTAAAAAAAAATCTGTATGACCCAGCAACTCCACTTCTGGCTATAAACCAAAGGAAATGAAAATAGTATTTCCCAGGAGAGATATACACTCTCATGTTTATCGCAGTATTATTCACAAAAGCCAAGATATGGAAACAACCCAAATGCCTATTGATGGATGAATGGATAAAAAAAAATATGGTACATATACACAATGGAATATTATTCAGCTATGAGAAGGGAGGATATCCTTCCATTTGCAACAACATGGATGGATCTTGAGCACATTATGCTAAGTAAGATAAGTCAGATAGAGAAAAACAAGTCCTGTATGATATCACTTATATGTGGGAATCTAAAAAAATTAAGCCTGTAAAAAACAGAGGGTAAAATGGTGCTTACCAGGGGATTGGGGGCAGTTAAGAGTGATGATGTTTAAGGGCACAAACTTGTAATGAGTAGTAAATAAGGCATAGAGATCTAATGCACAGTATAATGAATATAGATAATATTGTACTATAATTATGTAATGTGATAAATATCACTGCCTTGGCAATCATATTGCAGTATATAAATGTATCAAAGTAACATGCTGTACACGTTAAATGTACACAATGTTACACATTAAATTTATTCAATTAAACAAAAGATTTCTTGGTTAAAAAGTTAAGAAAAAGAAAAACCCAAACACTTGACATTTGTAAGTTTTCCTCAGCCTTGAGTAGTAAATAGATAGCCTTTATTGTTTACTACAAATATAAAACTAGTAATTGCATTTATAGCAATATGTATGTAACAAAAAATTGTTATGACTTATTCCTACCATTAATTAAATGTGTAGTGTGATTAAGGGTCTTTTTTCTAGAAAAAAAATTAGTATTTAAATATACTAAAGGAATTGTGTCATCACATTCATAGTAGACCAAGCAGTTGATTGCAGTATCATATATATATTGGGGAATCATATGAATGTTAATAATATCTTTCTTCTATGTATGATTATGTGTGTGTTTGAAAAGAATTTCCAGCCATCTATCTGCCATAGTATTAGCTTTAAATGGATGCATTTATAGCAAGAAAATATTAAATGAAGAAGCCACAAAATAGAGTAGTGACAAATTGATAGTCCCCAAAAAATAGAATATGAAGGATGTGGTTTTGGTTAAGATTTTTAGTCCTGCCATTGTAGAATTTTAGAACTAGGGCTCAAATGTAGAACTCTCTTAAGGCATTTAGATTAAAGTGTGGTAATAAGTCAGCACATTATTAAGCTGAAAATATTTATCACTGCCCAGACTTTGGAGCCAGGGAAAGTTGTGGATCTTGGCGATTTGCTAAGTCAAAACTTGGACAGGGCTTTATATTTTCTTAGATTATGGGTTGCTGTCCTTGGAGGAGTTTGACAGGGCACCAGGCTTTACCAGTTGTGTTCGCTTATACTAGACCCAGCGGGTGGCCCAAGTGTGGGGATCTTTGGTAGAAGTTGAAGGGAGCCCAATCTTATAACAGTTTCCTAAGCTAATTTTTTTGGATTCTTGCCACTAGTAGCAAGGGTGGTCTTTTCCCAGTCTCCATTCCCCCTGTCCAATCAAAGGCTCTATCCCATTAATACTTCTGAGTCTGGAAAAGCATTAGTGGCAAGAAATCAATCATTTAAGGAAAAAAAAACCAACAACCCTGTAGCGTTCCAGGAATGATCTATAGACTTCTGTGTAGGAAAATATCTTTTATATCTATCTACTGATATTGTTCTGACACATAACATAATAATTCAGGAGCACACTGCAAATTGCAAAAAGAAATCTTGTACCTAAACCAGATAATTTGCTCACGCTAATTTTTTCCCTCACTACTAGTTATTGCTATAAATAAATACACATTTCCCTCCCATGCCGTTCTTAAGCTTTCATGTGTAATAGCCACCTTAAAATGGTGGCATGACACTATTGGAAAATTCTCCTTCATTAGGAGAATAACATTTAACTATGTTTGAGAATGGCTAAGTCACAGCTCTCTTCCTTATTGCCATTATAAAAGAATGGGAAAGAATGTGACACACAAGAGTTGCACAAAATCAGCTGGACTTAAGCAGCAGACACCATGACTTCCTGATTCTGCTTGACAGTTCCTATACAAATTTCTGTTATAAATCTCTCCTTATAGCCTTTTATAACAACAGCAGCCAAGATATATAACCATGGAAGTTTCCATCATAATAAATCCTGTTAATTGAGAAACTTTTTCCATCCGTTCCAAGTGAATGAAGATGTGGCTACCTTGAGTGTGTGTGCGTGATGCGTGACCATCTGTTGCAGGCAACTAAGGCAGAGTGGTTGATAATACCTGGCCTTTGGAGTCATGTTTATATATCTAGGATAAAAATTTAGTATTATGTTTCCTGAGGATCATATTTTATTTTGTTAGAAATGGAAAATAGCATGGAAAATTCTGATATTAATTTTCATATTTCCCCCTTAATCTATAATTATTTTTCTCTTAAAATATGAGGTTTATGGTCTAGCCAAGTCTTTAACTCTTTTTTTTGGCTCAAACACAACTCTTCTTTGTTACTGTAGTTATTTTTGTCACACATCTTCTTGATTCACTTTTGAAAGTGCCTAGTCCATTGTTGGGATTCAATAGATCTGTGTATGAGAGTTATCACCATTGATCTTGCATCTAAACTAAATGCAAGCACTTGTAACAATGTAAAATTGTACGATTGTTGTCTAAGTACATGTTGTTATGCCAGGCAGGGTCAGAACGTCTGCTGTCTTAATAATGGCTTATCACTACCTTAAGGATTTTTCATTTTCATTTTTAAAACTAACCTCTCACGAGATGTTCCTGGTCATAGTTTTCAGCTCTCTTGCACATATTGGCTGGATGGTCTTAGACGTATTATTGAGCTTCTGTGAACCTCTATTTTTAAAATGTAAAATGAGGGTACTTCTTCATTTGCAGAGTTATTTTGGGACTTAACCAAAATTGATTAAGAGTGTGGGCTCTGGATTCTGACAGACAGAAGTTAAATTGTGCTTCTTCCACTTATAATCAGAGTAGCCTTAGTCAAATTATCTAGCTTCTCTGAGCCACATTTTTCTCTTATGTAAAATGGTATATTGTGATAGTACCTGTTTCACAATGTTGTAATGATTAAATGAGATAATACACATAAATAATTTATTAGCATGGTTTCATGAATATAGAAAGCTGCTAATGGTTATTATCATTAATTTCATTTAAAAATATATGTACAGACCAGCCTATTATTGTTAATAGTAAAATATTGAAATTGTGTTCTGTTTATTTAGTGGAATAGCTATCATGTCTACAGCACATGCGTACTTTTTTCTTCCCATAATTACCATCAGTGTTTTATTAAAAAGGTATTATGATTTTTATAATGGTCAGATATCATTACAGAATCTTTGTGGTATGCAGATTTCCTCCCATGTATTCCCAGGGCTTATAAAGTAAAAATTGAGGGTTCATTGTTCATTTGCTGTGTTTATTGTACTTATTTGCCTCAATAGTTGTCCTTTAAATTTTTTACTTTGCAAGTCAAAAATTTTGCGCTTATTTTAAGTTGTACAGAATATCCACATCATTTAAAATTAATACAAGGCATTTACTGAATCTAATTATATGTGTATAATGTTTGTGGGCCAGATGTATATTCTTGTATATTGTTTATCTATAGTATGTATGTATATATATAATTAAGGAATAGTTGATACATGCCTTTTACCTAAGAGAAAATTCAAAATGACTTTTCTTAAAAATTAAGTATGCCCTTGCATTATGTCAATTAATAATGGAATGTATCTGTCTCATATACTAGAGTCTAGTAACTAGACTAAATTGCTCCATAGCAAAGGTGTCATGTATAATAGAAGAGTGCTTCTCAACTCTGGTTGTAAATAGCTATCACCTGGGGAACTATTAAAGCAATACCAATACCCAGGCCTACTCCCAGAGATTGTGATTTAGTTGGTCTAGCAACTCTACCTGGCCGGTGACTGTGATAAATCTGGCTTACCATGTGGATAAACTCATCCAAAGAGACTGTTCAAAGAGGCTGGGGTTTTTAGGAGACAAAATATAAAGAGAGAATGTTCCCAATGGAAGCCAGATCTTTAAGCTTTTTCTTTGATGCCCGTAGCACTGTGGCCCAGTAAAGATCCTTGGGCCTGATGGATTCTATTGTCGTTCCTCCTCAGGGGGAGTGAGAGAAGTCCTGGCCTTCTCTACCCATACCCACCCTATTTCTCAGTCAAACTATTAACCCAGAATTCATAGCTATTAACTCTGACTGGAATGGGAATTATCATTCCAAGCATCATGAACCAAGAGCAGCAGCTTAGAAATGCAGCAGTAATTATTGCCATTCTTTGATATTTTCTAGAATTAGTTATGTCAGGTATTTTTGTATTAAGCCGTGGAAGAAAATGTAGTGCTTTGATATGTATTTAAACTATTGATAGTAAATACCTACCTAGAAAGGAAATCTTTAGAGCGTAACTTGTGTAAAAGGTAATATATTGATACTAGATAAAATAAATAATTCATGATGCCACATCTATACATGTAAAGAAAAATGAACACATATAATATTTCATTATGTAATTATTCACCAGACATGAGGGCAGATTTTTTTGGTCTTCTTTTGATAGAACATTTTTAAATAGCTTTATTGAGATATAATTCACATACCATACAATTTACTCTTGTAAAGTGTACAATTCAATGATTTTTAGTATATTTGCAGAGTTGTAGAATGATGACCATTTGATTTTTGAACATTTTTGTCCCTCCAAGGGAAACCCCATATTCATTAGCTGTCACTTGCTGTTCTCTCCATTCGCCCACCCCCAATCCCACTACCATCCCAAAGCAACTACTATTTTCTGTCTCTGTAGATTTATAGATTTGCCCACTCTAGATATCTCATATAAATTGAATCATATAATATGTGGTCTTTGTGACTGGCTTCTTTCGCTTAGCGTAGTATAATGTACCCATGTTGTAGCATGTGTCAGTACTTCATTTCTTTTTATTATTATTATTTTTTTTTGTGTGTGTGGTACGCGGTCCTCTCACTGTTGTGGCCTCTCCCGTTGCGGAGCACAGGCTCCGGACGCGCAGGCTCAATGGCCATGGCTCACGGGCCCAGCCGCTCCACGGCATGTGGGATCTTCCCGGACCGGGCTACGAACCCGTGTCCCCTGCATCGGCAGGCGGACTTTCAACCGCTGTGCCACCAGGGTAGCCCTATTATTATTAATAGTATTAAATATTATTCTGAATAACATTTCATTGTAGAGATATACCATATTTTGTTTGTCCATTCATCAGTTGATGGACACTTGGGTTGTTTCTAGTTTTAGCTATTATGAATAGTACTGCTATGAACATGTGTACAAGTTTTTGGGTGGACATATGTTTCATTTCTCTTGGCATGGAATTGTGAGGTCAGATGGCAATTTTATGTTTAATTTTTAAAGAAACTGTCAGACTTTTTTCTTGAATGGCTATACCATTTTACATTTCCATAAGCAATTTATGCAGGTTCTAGTTTTCTACATTCTTGCTAACACCTGTTTTTGTCTGTCCTTTTGGTTATAGCATTTAAGTAGATGTGTAGTAGTATCTCACTGTGGTTTTACTTTGTATTTCATAAAGAGATTTTGAGCATTTTTTTCACGTGCTTATTGGCTATTTGTACATCTTCTTGGAGAAAAGTCTGTTCAACTCCCTTGCCCAGTTTCTAACTGGGTAGAACTTTTTAATCTACTACCTATGTTACAGGTTATGTTTTGTGACAGCTCATTTTTTTTTCCTCAGATGGTATTTCCCAATTATTTGCTAATGATTTTTTAAGTAGTTGTGATATTCTACCAATTTGGAAAAAATGTAATTTTTTTATTAATAACAATTTCTATTTTCTCAGGTCACACTGCAGAATCGAGTGACCTTACAAAAGATCAGATTATCGGTCTATGTACAACCACCTTTAGTATTGACTTGTGATCATTTCACCTTTGAATTTATGGGTAAGTGTTTTGTTTTGGCTTAAAGTCTATCATGGTGTGAGGTTTTTTTTTTAATTAAAATTTTTTTTATCAGTGGGTTTATTTCATGGCTCTATTTCTTGTCTGAATAGTGAGACTGGTATCTTCCTGAAATCAACGATTGTGTTGTTTTGCTTATATTTTCCCTCCAAACATCAAGCATTGACATTCAGTGAATGGCTGTTGAGTTGAAGTAATTACAGATTTTCAAGTACTTTTCTTAATAATTGTACTTAAATACTATATTTTGGAAGGCTTTTTTATTGGTGTTTCTCTAGTGAGCTATTTATTGAATCTGTAATGTTTGAAGAAAGAATATTGGCTTTGGAATCTGACCTGAATTTGAATCCTGGCTCTGACACTCAATGTGTAACCATGGGCAAGCTACTTTAGTAATTACTGGGAGCCTCAGTTTTGTTTTGTTTTAATCTGCAGAAAGGGGATAATGATCTCTGTGTTACAGAACTGTTTTAATTAGAATTTAATCAGAAAATTAATTGGACTTAATTAGAAAATGAATCTATGTAAGGTGACTGTAATAATGCCTAAGATTTCTTTGCATAGGGTCTCTCTTACCACTTACATCCAGTTGTCATTAGTCCTGTTAAAATGATTTCTGAATTATCTTTCAAGTCTTTTTCTGTCTTTCTTCACTGCTACTGTTCAGCTGGGAACCCTATGTCTTATTCACAAAAAGCAAGAGCATATCTCTCTTTTTTCCTTTTTATAACCAACCCCTACCTTAGGTGCCCGACAGATAGTAGAAACTCAGTAAGTATTCATTGAATCAGTGAATGAGTGATTGAATGGTTGAGGTAAACTTGTAGGTGATATCTCACTTTATTTTTTAATTTTTCACAATACTTCCAATTTGTCTTTCTAAAACACATTCTGGACCATTAATTTTTCAAGTTAAAAACCTCTTATAGCTCTCTAATGCAGGTTGGAGGTCAAATACATGAATATGGAAGGCTATGCACAATCTGCCAAGTTGCCACAGTTTTAGTTACATCCATATCCAATTCCCCCTTCCATTTTATCCCGCAGTCCGTGTTCTAGCCATGATAAGGTACTATTTCCCACTCCCAAATTCTCTTGCCCTTTGCGTACCTTTTGCTTTGTTCATGCTGCCTGTTCATCTGAGTAAAGAGAAGCAGTAGAATGTTAGGTACCCTTGTTCTGGAGTCAATTCCCAGCTCTGTATTAGCTATATGACCTTGGGCAAGCTTTTTAATCTCTTTGTAGCCATTTTCCTCATGCACCAAAAAATGGGGATAATAATAATACCCACCATGTAGGGTTGTTGTGAGGATTAAATGAGTTAATCTATGTAATTGTTATGTAAAGTGCTTAAGACAGTAGCTGGCATGCAGTATATGTCTAATTTTAACTGTTTATTAATAATAATTGTCCAAAATTATGTAATATATTATTTTTACATTGCTTATAGCACCAGAGATGACTAGAACAGTAGGCTTTTCTGTTTATCTGAAAGGAAGTTATTTACCACCTGAATTGGAAGGAAATGCTGTTGTTTCTTATTCCAGACCTACAGGTAAGCATACAGTTGTTCATGAATTTACAAGCCTAAGCACTTCTTTTAAGTTATTGGAGTTATGAGTTAAATGTTTAAGTGTTTAAAATGGGAAAACACATTGTAAAATATTATTAAATGAAAAAATATTCTTTTCTAGTGTTAAATAAAAATGTATGTTCAAATTACTTTGATGTGTTATGAATAATTAGTGATAGTCTATTTAGGTGATTTCCATATGTAATGTTTGATTCTATCCTTTCAATTAATAGCAAATATGATGTATTTTTATTCCCACTAGAAAAATGTTATCTAGTCAGACTTCATGTATTTGAACTAAAGAGAAAAACCTAGTCTGAATTAGTAAAAAAGACTATTATGGGTTGCTGTAATATTAAGTCAGTCTTCAGAGTTCCAAACACTGCTTTAGTGATTAAATAAAACTATTATCTTACATGTTAAAATATTTAAGAACAGGATCTGTATTATTTCAAGAAACTCTTAATAGATCAGAAAATGTTATCTTTAGTCCAGTTGAGATCTAATTATTATAAATTTCAACTTGGGTTCAATTTTATAGTTTTGTGTGTGTGTGTGTGTGTGTAGTGAATTTTTCATAGTAACAGTTTGACAATTAGTTGATTGATAGAATAAGAATAATTAGTTATTGCTTTTTTTAAAAAACGTTTAAATGTAGTATAACTGATAGGGTATTTCAACAATGTTGCATTTGTGTTTTTTAAGCATTTCTGTACAGTTTTCTTAATTTAAAAAGCTTAGAGATGCTTATTTATATTTTTTTCTCTTTGTTGACACCTACTTTGCTTACTTAGCAATGTTTTTATGAGACTGATGCAACTACGTACTGTGCTAACAAGGCACCTTGGCAATGTTTTTAATAATAGTAGTTCTTATTTTGTCTAGGTGAATTTTCTGTTTTATGCATTGACAATCCTATGCTTGGAGGTGATTTTGTAACTTTAGTACATGTTTTCAAAATCTGTTTCTCCTTCTTTGTAAGTTATTTTGCTTTAAATTATTAAAAAAATCATTTCTGGCCAGAAGTGACCACTTTAACCATTTACCTATATTTTCAAAATTTGGGGTAACATAAATATTTTATGGTTAAATGGCTTTGCGAAAGCTGTCTTTGGAGAGAAATACAAATCTTCTGTAAGGGATCAAAGAATGATGGACTTCTTAGTTGGATGTTTCTGAAAAGAGCATTGAAATGTTCAGTGTTATTTTAATTTTGAGTTGTGAAATAAAAAACAGGAAATGTTGGCTAAAATCTCTAGATCATTTATCATTAACTGAACATCTCAATAATCATAGGCATGATTATACTTTTTATCTTTATTACACCTTGTGTATGTAGTTATAGAGATTGTTGATGCCTTAATTCAACTAGTTATTTCATTTGCTTTCAAGGAAAAGTAGTGGTTCAAAATAAAGAAATGGATTACCTAGTAAGTGGACAAAAGGCTTAAAATTAAATACATTACAAAGTTATAAAATCATTCAGTGAGCTTATGGTTGCACATACCATTTTTAGCTATTATGCTTTTCTAAAGACAGAATTTGAAAGACTATAAATTATTACTAAACCAAAGAGCATAGGCATTAATTGGTTGAAGGTTAATTAGAAGTTAAAGTAAAAACAAGTCTATAAAAGTAAAAGAATACCGAGACAAGCTGAAAGAAAAATAGACATTGTTCCATAGTAGTATCTATTAACTAAAGTTATAAGCAAGACTAACTCGAAATATTAATATTATATATTTGTCTTTCACTCAAATTTTTTCCAAAAAATTCATTTAATGCTCTTGATGTCATTTACATATTGAGTCTGGTTTGCTTTTGGCTAGATCATATATCTTTACCTCTTTTTGCCACATTTATACTGGAATAACACCCTCTCATGGACTTCTGAGAATGAATGAAATATATTGTTAGATTTCATTTATTCATGTTATATTCTTCAATTGTGAATTGGCTTATCTTTATTGGAGGGCCATTTAAATCATCTGTAAGAATCTTGAAAATTTTATATTATATTTTAAGCAGATATGTGTTGTTTGTGTTGTAATTTTATAACAGATAATTTGTTACATTTTCTACCTTATCCCTTTTTGAATTGCCTCTGATGGATAGATCGAAATCCTGAGGGTAAGTGAAAAGATAATTTAGAACAAAATGAGTTTCAGAACTGAAATTTGGTCAGTTAATTCAATTGGTATTATACCATGAATGAATTCTTTTTATGGACTACTGTTTTAACTATAGCAACCTCTTTAGGGTGATTCAGTGCCTTGATCTGGCTATGGAGAAGCTAGTATATGTTTCCACTTATAGATACTTGTTATTCATAATTAGTTGTTTCAGAGTCATGAGAAACAATGAAGCTCCATGACTGTTTTGAACAAAACCAAAGGCACCACTGACAACTTATTTTTGTAAGTCATTGGTGATTTACCTGTATGCTCAGTTATCTTAGTTTACTTAAAAAGAGTAAGGAAAAAAATTTTGAATTCTAAATTGTATGATTCTGTATACCCCAAAATATTCACCTCTTTGATCAGAATGCCATGTGTACTCATTCTATGGGCCTGTTCCTTGTCTTGTTTAGAATTTGTGGGGGAATATCATCAAGGGACTGACCCCTTGAACTTGCCTGGGTCAGTGTTGTCACCATTTTGTTTTCCCCAAATCCTTTGTTTATTACTCTGCTATAATACTTATCATAATATGAATTTCATTAAGTTTGTTCCTTAGGTTCCCCTAGTAGATTTTTGAGCTCTGTAAGAGCAGGGTTCAAGTACTTAGGATTGTGCAGTATCTGGTTATATGACAGGTACTCTATAAGGATCTTCTACTTTGATTATTTTTCCTCCTAGACACAGACTTAATGTGATGGTTTGTCTTAGTTTAATAGCCATTTTAGATTAGTATTAGATAATATTAATTAGTAATAATTAGATAAATAAAATACTTAAAAATAATGGCATTATTTACTCATATAGTTTTGGTGGTGCCAGCAACCTGAGCTGCATAGTGTCTGGGAGGTGAATATATATTTATATGAGAAATATTTTAATAGAAGTAAGCTTTTAGCTTAATAGTATAAAGTATACTTGTCAAATTAGAATTTGGGTTATTAAAAATAATTTTAATAATGAATATTTACATTTTACTTTGCAAGATTTCATGTAACTGATAAGATTTTGCAATAACTTTTATAAAATACGATATTATTATTTAAATTATTTGTTTTGAGTTTTAAAAAAATCAGTAAAGGTTATTATTAAAAGGAATTTATTTCCTCTTACTAAAAATTCAGATCAAACCATGAGAAAAAAAATCAAAATATATGGAAATTTTAGTATTTCAATGCAAACCTAAAGCTGGTTTTAATAATCTCTTATGATATATTTTAAAATTATAATTAAGCTTCAGGGAGTAGAGTTGAAATATTCAGCTTTACCTAGTAGGCAAGAAAATAATATGTTGCCACTTAGATCTTACTTACATAAGGCTTCAAATTTCAAAGACTTTTCCATTTTATTGGCCTGATCTGTTCAGGCTGTATTGCAGATAAGCAGTCCTGCTTTTACATATGGAAAAAGAGAAGCAAACGAGGTTTTATGTTGTCCCATAAGAGTTTGTCTCCATTATTTCTGCATTAAAGTTACATGACATGGGCAGTGTAAAACATGACTGCAGATGGAGCACAGTACGTAGCCAGACATAACAGGAAGGGATCAAGGAAGTTCTGGCTACCAGACATTGCTACTGCTTTGGGGTTCCTTGTTTTCAATAAGAAATGACTCTAGCAGGCCCCTGGAAAGAGTTCTAAAGGCATTATGTAGATGTGTAATATATAGATATAGTTATTCTACTCTGGTATATAAGTTCTTTTTTCTTTTTTTCAAAGCACATTTTGGCATCCCTCTTGACAGTGATACTGGTCTCTTGGGTGTGCCAGGGGTAATTAGAATTCTCTTCCTGGAAAAATTGTTCTGTCAGGAGTGATTTTGATCTGAATTTTCTCTCTAAGTGTTAAATAATTTTGTGATTAATTGCACCATGGTAGTTGCGACTATCCATTTCCTCTAGTAGGCTAGAAGGGGAAGTGTTTGAAGGAGAGGTGATTATATTTGTTTAAAAATTGTAGGAAAAAGTCAGTCTGATGAGTGAGTAGGCCAATATTTGAGTATTACAAATGACCAAATTCTTCTTTTCTCTCAGCATTATATTCAGAGAGTTGAATAAGCCAAATAGAGACTGTTTTGCCAACTAAATATCGCTGATGGTAGGCAGTTAGGATCAGTTAGGCTCTTTCAACTGAGTTGAAAGCTATCCTACTAGCAAATTTGGAAGGTCTTTAAGTGCATATTATTCTTTCCTTCCTTATTACAGATACACATATGCATACACTCACACATACCTCTACATGTCTCTGGCTTCAGGTTCTTAGCTACAGTTATAGCCTGAAGAGTAACTGGTAGCCAAATCTGCATTTCAAGTTTCTTAAGAAAATGTAAATCTCAATAGAAATGTGCCACTGATAAACTCCGTGTCTAAATACTAGACATTATATTTTGAAACGTTCGGGTTTTAATTTGATGGGAAGTAATATAAAATATTGGCAGTATAATTTTTCTTTTTAAAGGTATGGTTTCCTTAAACTGGTTTCTAAAGGATTTCATACTCTTTTCCCCCCCACAATGGTAAAACTTTTCAAGCTGCCATCATTTAAAAAATAGCCATAATCATTTTATTAAGTATGAGTGTCATCATTTTTCAAAGTAATGTTTTCCAAATGTCCTGTGAAACAGGTTTACAATTCCTGGAGAGAAAAGAAATTCTGGAGGGGTTCTTCAAATCTTAGCAACTGCAGACTATTTGCCCTAGTGTGTGATATTGTCATTAACTGACTTAACTGAGCTGTGAATTGAGTTACAATGTATTTCCCTTCTTGGGTTTATTAGTGACTGCAATCCATTTGTTTCAATTTCTGAAACATTTATACACCACCAGTTTCTTTAGCTCTGGGTTCTTGGAGTTTTAGGGTAATAATCTAAGTAACATAAAGGCTAGTGTTGTTGATCATGATTAATTTTGTTTTACCACAAATTCAGTCAGTACCCGGTCCAAGTGAAGTAGAGCCACAGTTTCAGCAGTGTAGTTTTAGAAGAGCATTTACAGCCAAATTTTATTTGAACAATTAGCTCAGACTTTGGTTGAAAGTACGTAGAAGATAGCTTCTCTTTGTGCATGTACAGAATTGTCAGAAGATGAAGCATTTTTTCCCTGTTATTCTATTCATTGAAAATGAAGGAACTGGAACTAGGTTTCAGTTTCCTTTTTCTTTCCAGACTGCATCTATTAATTGAAGCTGTAATTTGTATATTGTAGAGGAAAAACATTAGTAGGTATATTTCCATAATTTGGGGATATATGGAATATATGAAGTTGGAAAAAATAATGCTTTGTAATATATTTTGTAGTGATATTGATAGTTGTGGTCTGAGCAGTAGCTTAGATCACGTTACCATAATATTTTGAGTCAAAATATTTCATCATTTTAAAGTACAAATACACATGCCTCTAAAACCTCACAAAATGTCAGGAAATAATACCCTGGGACTTCTCTGAAGAGACACCAGTTATAGTTTGCATTTAGGATTCCAGAAGTGAATTTAACATCTGTTGGTTATGAGCAAAAAATGAGCTATGTAAAATTTGATGGATAATAGATTATGTTGAAGAGAATGACAAATATGCTCCACATGCTCTGAAAAAGTATTTAATTGGCCTCATATATCAATATGCTTGCCGTTGTTGATGATCTCTTACTATCCTAGTGAATAAGTAGTTCTGAAAAGTGTACTCCCAGCTTGGTTATAGAGTAAACCACACAACTCCAATTGGCATTAACAAAATATATTGCTAATTCTAGGAATCCTATTTGGGATCATGTCTCCAAACTTTATTGCTTCCACTTTTGCTATTTTTAAGCTGCTCTCTGACTCCACTGTAAAGAAATAAAGGAATTAATGTGTGGATCTATCCAGTAGAGTAGAACATTTTAAGTTTTCCTTTTTTCTACAGTAGTTTACTAAGGTATAGGTTTCTGTATGTTATCTTTTGTCTTATCCAGTCAAAAATAGAATCCTAGTATAAAAGGAGAGAGAACTAAAGTTGTAGAATTGCTTTACTTGATTTATAAGTAGAGAGCTTAATTTGCTTTGGTTTCAGTTTCATTCTTTGTAAAAATATTAAAAGGAATGATTTTTAAGAGCTTTAAATTCTGATATAAAACTCTTCATTGTTATTTATTTATGCAGTTACTTATTTCAATATACCTGTACCTGTATACTTTCTGAAAAAATTTGAGAATTGAATGACTATGTAAGCCTTTCAAAATGTTGCTTAACAGTGATATGTAAAGTTAAATGGATTGAGAAAAATTCAATTTGTATGAAAGTAATATTCTTCATATTGATGTGTAAAATGACATTAGAATGAACTTCATTAGAACTTCAGTAGGGCAAATTCTGCTTTCATGCTCATAATTTATTGCAAATTGTTAATTGTATTTCGAATCTTCAATAAGTAAAAAAACTAAAATTAAAGAATTCGGGGGGTAGAGAAATGATTAGATATGGTCATATAGAATCTTCCTGATATAAATTTCATATTCTTTGCTCATTTTAGCGGATAGTCTTGGGTTAGGGCTAGAGCTTTGAAGGTCTTAAAGACAGTTCAGTAATTGAATATAACTACATATAATGTTTTATATAGCGTTCAACTGTGATGATTTTTAAAATATGATATTACTATTAAAGGCAGAGTTTACCCCATGCTCGTTTTTAAGATTTTATTTTTGCCTTGCACTTTTTGACAATAAAGTAAAAACATAAATTATGATAATGCTTTCCAGTTATTTCAGTTATGCTAAATGAAATGGGCAGGTAACAAACATTTAAACTAAGATATGTTGCTACTATGTACTATTAGTAGTACAATATTTTTCTTATTTGTCAAATTTATGAATATATGTTTCTCTTTTTTTCAGGCATTCCTCGAGTTAGCCAATGTAAGTTTAGACTTCCCCTGAAATTAATCTGCTTACCAGGCCAGCCTTCAAAAACTGCAAGCCACAAACTAACTATTGATACCAACAAATCTCCAGTCAGTCTTCTCAGTCTCTTTCCAGGTAGGACTCTTGAAGTAACATGCCTGTAACATCAGAAATGTTAAGAATTTAGAATGGAATCCTTCATCAGCAGGTAATGATGGGGTAATTATCAGATAATTGTTAAGTCAGAATATAAAAGTGCCTCAAGGATTTTTTCGTTTCGTTTGCGGGTTCAAAGGAAATAGCTTATATCAACAAGGTAATAAAGCGTACCTTTTAAGTTTGATTAAAATTATTATAATCATTATTTTGCTTCAGTATTCAGAAATGAAAACATCAAATGTTTCTTTTTGCACTGTGGAATTTTTTGGCTTGGAATGTAAATATTTATTATTCATCTTTATTGTAGGTTTTCAAATATATCCCTTTTCTAAGCATGTAAATATTTATTATTCGTCTTCATTGTAGGTTTTTGGAAATGTACCTTTTAAAAGCATATTCTTGTGCCCCTGAAAAGTAACCTCATAAGTAGATGCTCTATGTGGTTGTGCTGTCTTCAGCAGCTGGAGGGGGCAATGTTCATTCTTTGCCTCCAGTGCTTTAGAAGGGGCTACATATATAAAGCTAGAATATCACAGTGAACATTATTGGTAATTTGTGAAGGTGTGACTTTCTCCAGGTGTTGGTTTTTCTTTTTGAGTAGCTTAGAAAAGAGAGAGGCATTGATTGGATAAAACATCTTTAGTTGCTAGGGTTTCTAATGTGTTGCATCTATTACCTTTCTTGATGATGAGGTGGAATTAAAAAAAATAATCTGGGAATTAAATCGACCCTTTTAAATCCATCATTAAAAATCAGCACTGTTGACTGTAAGATGCATCTTCATCCTTGCATTAGTGGATGGATTTAGAATACAAGTATTTCCCACAAGGTTTAGATATTTATGGTAAGTCAACTTTTGTGTTATTGCCTACTTAAAGTGATTAAAATTTATTTTTCATTAATTTGAAGTGTTTTTAAAAGCTTTATTTATATATAACTCTATGAAAAATCTCCAAGATGCTCTTTATTACAATTAATCTATTTAGTTTGAATGAGTTCGAATGAATGTGTGTGTGTGTGTTTGTGTGTGTGTGTGTGTGTGTGTGTGGTTAGCAAATAGTTTTGTACCTTTTGGTTTCTAATTCCCTTTCATTCCCTTTCTTCTTCGTCAATTTTCTTATAACAAATTTGGATTATAAAAAAGGCAGAGAGGGACTTCCCTGGTGGCGCAGTGGTTGAGAGTCCACCTACCGATGCAGGGGACGGGGGATCGTGCCCGGTCCGGGAGGATCCCACATGCCGCGGAGCGGCTGGGCCCGTGAGCCATGGCCACTGAGCCTGCGCGTCCAGAGCCTGTGCTCCGCAATGGGAGAGGCCACAACAGTGAGAGGCCCGCGTACCAAAAAAAAAAAAAAAAAAAAAAAAAAAAAAGACAGAGAGTCACTACCCTTATAACATCTTATGCAAACATTCTAGTTCCTTGGTCTCCTATTCTATCCTGACAGCATAGTTGGAAATTGTATGTTGCGCACCAAATTTATTGATGCCTTTGAAAAATGTTTAAGGCTCTGGCTTCTGAGTGGTCAACCTTTACTGTAGATGACTGAAACCGATAGAGATTGAATAAGAATGTATGCTTTTGATCAGAGAGGGAAACTCTGTAAGCTATGGATTGGGTAAGAAGTACTAAGGAAAGCTTATAACTCATCTGTCCTGATTTTGGACTCAGTTGTTTTGATGTCACAGGTATCTTAGGCTCATCAGCATATATTTGCTTCTTATTCACTTTAGAAATGGGACTCAATGACAAATTTTAAAAATTTCCCCTAAGAATCAATTTATGTAATATAGTGTGTTCTTTTTTTGAGTTTCCAGATTTGTGTTCATATTAAACATGCTGGAATCCTGTAATTGTTTAAAAGAAGTACTCTTGCTACTTTTTCACTTTTCATGATACGTTTCACTCTTGCTCTATATGATGTTAAAGTTGCTATTACAAGTTATTTTTTAACGGAAATAAAATTAATGATCTTCACAGAGAAGAAATAAAACTACTTTTAATCTACATCTCTGTTTATTTCAGTTCTTTTTTTTGTATATTTAAAATTAATTTTTCTTATTACAAAAGAAATGTGAAATTAAGGAATGGATAACCAAAAAGAAGAAAATGAAAGTTACTGGTAATTCTTACACCCAGCAATATCTACTTATATTTCATTACATTTTCCTACTCTTTTAAAAAATATTTTTTCTAAGCATTTTATCCCCCCAAAGAATATTACTTTGCATATTGTTGTGAGACACCTTTCTATATAATTAGATTTTTTATTTTATGATTTTAATGATTACATACAATTCTATCATAAATCATTTGGCCAGCATTATATTTTTCTATATTTATCTTGTTTTCAGTTTATTAATAATGTAAATATATTATAGCAATATTTCTCTAAATTTATTATTACTTCTTTTTTTTTTTTTTTTTTTTGCGGTACATGGGCCTCTCACTCTTGTGGCCTCTCCTGTTGCGGAGCACAGGCTCCGGACGCACAGGCTCAGCGACCATGGCTCACGGGCCCAGCCGCTCCGCGGCATGTGGGATCTTCCTGGACCAGGGCACGAACCTGTGTCCCCTGCATCGGCAGGCAGACTCTCAACCACTGCGCCACCAGGGAAGCCCTATTATCACTTCTTTGATGAATATGTAAAAGTGGAATTACTGAGTCAAGCAAAGGATAATAGTATTTTTAAAGCTTTTGAAATATAATGTAAAATTGACTTCCTGAAGGGCCATACTAGTTAACTCTATCAACAGTGTTTGAATGGAGGTGTCTAGTACTCCAAATACTGGCCAGTAGAGAATATTATAATTATAAAAAGATTTAATATGCTTAATGGCTATATAGAAAATATTTATTTACATATATATATATATATATATATATATATGTAAATAATTATCTGGAGTGATTTTGGCTAAATGTGACTTAAGCAAGGTAATATGTATTTTTTATCTCAAATAAAGAGAGGTCCACAAGTGGGCAATGGAAGCTGGTATAGTGGTTTGTGAATGTTATCAAAGACCCAGCTTTTTTCTTTCTTTGCAATATGCATTCTCTAGTGTGTTGGCTTGTTCCATGGCAATAAGATAGCTGCTTTGGCTTAAGTCATCATAACTGACTACAGGGCAGGAGGTAGGGGAAAGAGATAGCTATAGCAATGACTGTAACTTTTATCAGAAAGGCATGTTTCCATAAACTTCTTAGGAGATTTCTACTTAGGCCTCAATAGCCAAAATACTGTCACATGGCCTCTTCTAGCAGTAAAGGGGGCTGAGAACTAATGTAGATGGGCTGGGGAAAAGGAGGCTGGGAATAGATGTTAAATTAGCTGACATTCAGTGTATGCCATGATACCAGTAATTTTACACAAAAATTTTACATAAATGTAATAAGAGGGCTTCCCTGGTGGCACGTACCACAAAGTTTGCCCGCATACCGCCAAAAAAAAAAAAAAAAAATGTAATAACAAATAGTGTGCTATTGTAGCAGCCTTTTATGGTACTCAGATATATGGCTATCTTTCCTTGTCAATGAATTTGTATTTTAATGTTTACATAATATTCTGTTGTTTAGGGGTGCCATGTACATAGCTTTTTTGTACTTCTCTGTTTCTCTTTGGAGAAATTCCTTGAAGATAAATGATTGAGTTAAAGGATATGCACATTTGAAAACTTTATTCAAATGCCAAAGTTACTTCCAGGATAACTGTATCAGGTTACAAGCCCAACATCAGGGTTTGTACCCAGGATAGCAGCTGGATTTAAAGCTTTTAAAATTTTTGACTTGGTTAGGTGAAATATGACATCTCTTTTTAAAATTTGCATTTCTAAATTATTTGTTAGCATAGAAATTTTGTAATTGTTATTAACTACTTGTATTCTTTTAACATATAAGGTTTATATTTTTAGGTAGTAAAATTTATTTTAAAATTTAATTTTATAACTGCTGTATTTAGTTTCAAGTTTTCATGTTGTGCTTAGAATGATCTCTATTTTAAGATTATAAAATATTAATTATATTTTCTTCTGGTACATTTTAATACATTCTTTAATTCTGAAACACAGCTTCAGTATATATTTTTGTTTTTATAAAAAGCAACTTTATTGAAGTATAACTTATGTACACATGTATAGAACATACAATTTGGTAAGTTTTGGTGTTTGTATATACCTTTGAAACCATCCCTGCAATCATGATGCTGAAAATATCCATCACCCCAAAGAGTTTCCTTGTGCCCCTTTGTGATCCGTTTTTCCCCCATCCCCAGGCAACCACTGGTTTCCTTTCTGTCACTATAGTTTGCACTTTCTGAAGTTTTATAAAATGGAATTACTCAGTATGTGCTCATTTTTGTCTGCCTTCTTTCATTCCCTTATCAGATTATATGACTTGCACATATTTTCTCCCAGTCTATGGCATGTCTTTTCATTCTTTTAACAGTGTCTTTGGAAGACAAGTTCTTAATTTTGATAAAGCCCAATTTATCTGTTTTTTTCTTTTATGGATCATGATTTTAATGTTATATCTGAGAAATTTTTGCCTAACTCAAGGTTACAAAGTTTTTCTAGAAGTTTTCTAGTTTTATGTTTTATATTTAGGGCTCTTATCCATTTTGAGTTGATATTTATGTATGGTGTGAGATATGGATAAAATTCATATTTTTGCATATGAGTATCTAATGTTCCAGCACTACTTTTTTTTTTTTTGGCTTCACCACGCGGCTTGAGGGATCTTAGTTCCCCAACCAGGGATTGAACCCGTGCCCCGTGCAGTGGAAGTGTGGAGTCCTAACCTCTGGGCTGCCAGGGAATTCCCCCAAGCTACTTTTGAAAAGACTATTTTTTTCCACTGAGTCACCTTTGCAAAGTTGTTGAAAATCATCTGAATGTATATCATAGGACTATATAAATCATCAGAATGTATATATATATTTCTGCTCAGTTTGTTCCATCGATCTATTTGTATTTGCCCATC